ACTAATGTTTGAAAACAATCACAAATATGTAATAATTGAATAAAACAGAATTAATTAACACAACCACTCGTTGGAACGAATCGAAATCTTGTTTTGGAAGGAACAAGTGTTTCAAATCACGTATTGCATATTAAAATAATTAGACGAACACAAACCAGTCCGCAAAACAGAAAATGAATCAGTAAAACCGCAACAGGAGAATGTCATGCAAAATAAAGGCAAAGTAGGTTCGAGTCTTCGAGTTCCACGAAAAAAAGAAAACCAGCGAATAGTCGGTTATATTGTGAATCACTTAATAAATATGCAGGGAATTACCTGCGGCGTTAAGTATGCACAGAGCTTAAAGGACAAAAAATACAGCGGCTTAAAACTTTACGAATCAGAATAACATTTTATCTTCCATAATGAAATAAAACGCGGCCAAGTGCGAGTCGGACTCGCCCATGAAGGTTTCCGTAGCAGCAAGTAACATAATATAAAAGTTCTTGGCGTTCGTTGTAACTTTGATCGATGTTTTATTAATAGTGTATTTTTTTTATTGATTTGTGATTTATGACGTATTAAGAAAACTACTTACTAGATCTCGCTCCAACCAATTTTCGGTGGAAGTTTGCATAGTAATGGACATATTTTTTTAAAATTTATCTGTTTCTTATTTTAGAAGTCACAGGGGGGGGGACATTTTACCACTTTGGAAGTATCTCTCGCGCAAACTATTCAGTTTAGAAAAAAATTATATTAGAAACCTTACGCAACCTCAGAATACATCTACATACCAAGTTTCAATAGTGTAGTTCTTATAGTTTCGGAAAAGTGGCTGTGACATACGGACATGACGAATCTATAAGGGTTCCATTTTTTGCCATTTGGCTACGGAATCCAAAAACACCCGACATTCCAATTTAAACCAAATAAGGAATATCTAGAAAAGAAAATTAGCGATGCATAGTTAAAATGCCTTAATTTCGCATAAACACTTCTAATCATCTTGTCGATCAAATGCATGAATATACTCAGGCCATAAAAACGAACGCGATAGAAAGACTATTTTATTTAAAAGCCAAATTAGATGACGGATAATCGGTCACGTAACCACTGTTAAAGTTTGAGCTTTCGATCGAAACACGTTTAATTTTTTAAGACTCATAGTCCTCGCAAAAATGAACCGTAAAGACAGGACGAGAAGTTGGAAAGTCCTATAAAAATAATGACCTCAACCTATCAACATAATGAAAGAAATCATATTACGCAAGAATTGCTTGTACTTGAATTCCGATAAAAGGTTTTGCACAACTTTCAAGGAATGCAAGTATGGGCTATTGATGCCGAACGTGAATCAAATACTTAAGCAAAATCAAAAACCTTTGATATAAATCAAATAAACTTGTTGGCTCAAATGGTCTAGGACTCTCGAGTAACTTTCGCAATAGTTAATTTTTTTTACGCCTTTATTCTTTGAAGTAATATAACCCGTTAGTATTAACTGCATTTTGAGTCGTCAAGTTAGTAATTAACAATGGATCACATGGTGGGTTATGGTTATGGCCTGTTTTGTGTAAAACATGAGAATCGAATATTAAAGTGATGCTGATATCATTCTAATATTATGAACGTGTCAGTTCTTTTTGTTATATTATCAATAAACGATCCTACCCCGGTCAAACCCACATACGTAATATACCACACGTTACATTGCTGTTTTATCAATATTTTATTTGCCTTCATTGGTTACCAAAAGTCTAGTATAATGTTTATGAAGGGTTAAAAGAACGACATCAAAAACAACGAAGAAAAGGCTAGTTTATAAGACAAAAACATACGGGGAAAACAGTCCTCTAAAAGCCTATATGCACAAAAAACTAAATGCAGTGGTAAGTAATAACATATTTTTTTCACAATAACTATCAGGAAAATATGTAAAAGCAAAAACAATGCATTTTTACATAACACACATAAAAATAAATGAGATTAAATAAAGATAAATATTGAAATTCATAATCACTATATACAGGAATTTAAATTTAGTGAATCGATGTCATAAATGTTAAACTTACTTCGGCATTACGTTAAGTAGGTAAAAGTTGCATTTTCTATTCATTGCATGACAATGAAAGAGACATAATATAATAAGGAAAATTTGACAAAGTATTTCGTCTTACCTTCAAGTGAAGAATAATGAAAATTAATCATCGTTGCATGCGTAAATGGTGAATATACGAATTCCCCCCAAGTAATAATTGATGTTGTTCTTATATTGTACTGACATATACTTTCCTGATGAAACTCAAACACTTGTTTACTTAATTATTACAAAAAAAATATGTGGAAAACCGCAAGCTTAATTATTTGTTTTTACCTAATGTTACTTAGGTAGTACTTAACTTCAAAATTGCTTTTTGATAAAAGCAATTTTGAAGTTAAGAACTACCATGGTTGAATTACTCTATCCTGTCTTAATAACTTGAGCTTTGAAGATAACTTAAGCAGTAAAAAATACGTGCCACGACACGACCTGACTCATCCTGTAGACTCTTTTCTCCTATCACGTTCAGCGCGGAAAAATTAAGGATAAACCTACTCATATCAGGAAACATCACCATTACACACCCTTAGTAAGTTACGCTACACTACTTCGTAAAATCTATAAAGTTGTCTATCGGGACCTTGCAGGATTGCCGGGGTGAGAGAGCATGACATGATACAAGATCTATTAAATCTTTCACCTACCTGTGCATCCAATTTCAAACGAAAATAAATTTTGTTGCTGAAATCGACGAAATTAATTAATATTTAGATATTGGACTTTGATCGAATGTTTTATTTCACATGTTACCATTGTTAACCATACTTTGGTAAGGTGTTTGGGCAAATAAGCAGTCAATGATAATTTACCAATAAGCTGCGAGTCGCAGCTTGCGACGTTAATGTGTATTTTAAGCTTGGATTGACCGATGATGGCGCGGGCCGCTGTATGGTGTGCAGGCAAAAGGTCGCCAAACCAGTTCCCAGCGACATCGGCGATGTCTGGCAACGCCTGTGGCGTGTTGCCACCCGACCGATATCGATCTTTTACGTCTTCTTTAGCCAATTATTCATAGATTTACTCAATTTGTTCAAAAAATCTACTAACACTTAATACCGTACATTAAACATTTTGAATAACACTTTACCATAAAAAGTTAATATTACTTTCCAAGAAACATATTGAAACAGATTACTTTATGCTTACTAGCTAGCATTGTCATTATACCAATGCCATTGCAAAATTCTAAAACAGTAGATTTAAGTTAAAATGAAAAAGCTGCTGATATTGAACAAATAAAAAACAGTTGTCTTCCTTCAAAATGTATGAAAGGTTTATTCAGAACATGGATACAAGATGACCTAATCATTTGTTTTTATACAACAACTTGTTTCATACATTCTGGGAAACTTTTTACACCGAAAATCATTTAAATTTAAATACATACCTAGATAAAATATCGTAAAAAATTCAATAAATTCGACATTTAAGTGAGAACTAAATCTAAACAAACTGCGTAGATACTAGAATAGAACTAGTATATCAAGTTTGGTCTACGCTTTCGTAATAATTATATTTATCTGCTTCCAAACCAGAGATAGAAAATAAACAAAAAAAAACTTTGTATAGATTACTAATATATATAAGTAGGTATAATTGAATAACTATTGGATCGAAAACAAAATGCTAATGTCGAGGGCAACGGTGATAATTTCTTTTGCAGAAATAGATAAAAGTATTTCATCCATAACAAATATACTAATAATGAGTAAGAACATAATGTAAATATCATTCGATCAAAGTTGACGGTACATTATTCTTAGGTACTAAGAATTGCGATGTAAGTAGTGCTTTCAGTCGGAGATGAACTTGGTAATATATTTAGTTGAGGATGGGTGGTTTTAATATTATTTTACATAAGATATATACCAAATATTGATTCATGATTTAAATGCATTTGGTGTCCGTATGTGGAGAGGTTAATAAATACTTAGTTGCTTATCTTTCGCAAGTTACCATCACAAACGCAAATAAAAAATATTGTTGGGGCAGGATTCAAGAATATTTTTTATTTTATATGTTAAGAGAAGAGCTTTTATTCTAATTTAGGAAGATGACGACCATAGTTTTTTTTTATTTCCGAGTCCAAATATTCGTCCGTTTCAATTTGAATGTATTATTTTATAATTTCAGATTATTGATAACCTAGATATACAATAAATTATTCCATTTAAAAGCAATAATGAAGATCCAGCAATATTTTTAGCTTACAAAATTATTCAATAGCCAATCTGCACTAAATCTCAAATATATAGGTACATGGGTTAAAATTAATTTGAAAAACTAAATTTAAAAATAACAACAGATAAGTCCAATTCTATCTAAAGAATTGCTTTACTTTTGTTATTCTACCGGTTTGTTTGTAAGATTATAATTTGTTGCCACTAAGTTACGCCATTTATCAAAAACCATAAATGTAGTTTGTTGCGACATCGCCCAATTTAATAGGTAGTATATTAACAAATTATGGCATCCGACAATGTGTTAATTAACAGCCGTAAGCGATTCCCACTTGTTAAAACCAGTCATCATAATCTCGTCTAAAAAAATTGGCATACGAAGCTCAAAGTATAGCCCACGGAGAAAACACGAGACGGAAAGTCAAGACCCTCGCACAGAACTCGTTCAGCGACGAATTCTCTTTGCTACTGACTACCGTGCAGTTACTCCGTCAGTAGAATGAGACGGAAGAACGACTGCCATGCCAATGATAGAATGAGACAGGTAGAGATGCGCATACGCAGCTAGTTAAGTTCGGTAGTGAACACGCGCGCAACTCGGCGTGCAGGGGGTCGACCGACTATGCTTTCCAGTTTGTGATTCCGACCCACGGGCAGCTGGTGTGCCGCACGCTGCCGGGACCGCAGTGCTACTCGTTTTACACAAATCATTTGATTGCTAACTCACATCCAAAATAATAACATGTCTTAGGATTATCTCAACACCTTTCTAATTTTTTAAGTGCGGCAGTGTTTTCTATGTGGTTTTACAAAGACAAAAAAGTGCGTTCGTTAAATTTTAGGAGAAACCGGAGCCGCTCAAAAATTAACTGTTAGGTTTGAAAAGGTAAGTTGTGTCACAAAAGCTGAGCTTTGGGATGAATCGAGACGCGCTTAAGTCATATCGACGGTCCGAGGAATGCTGTTTGACAGCATACATGTGCGGGAACAAAAGCCTTGTGCATACATTCATCGTTTTTCTTTTTCATTCTGCCTGCTTTCTGTGAGTAATGAACTTCGACGTATATTACCAACGATGTGTACGAAACTGTTTAGAATGATACCAATTAATTAAAAATCTATGTGAATGCAATGATCGGCAGAAAAATTCTCACAGGTAGGTAGCAACGGAATCTTCATTTACCTGAGAGCCGACCAAAAGGGAAGGGAAGGGACGCCTCTCTTTACCAGGAATAGTATTTGAATAGAATGGACAACAAGCGACGGAGTAATAACAATGAAGGACTTTTTAACATTTATAACATCATTCCGAATAATTACCACGTTCCGCACATGCAAATTTGGTGTATCAGCAATATGGTGATGTTATTATTGTATCCCTAGCTGTTTGTGATCCTTCAACTTTATGTTAAGAACAAATTTTATAGCAACTGACTAGGCAGATGTATCAAAGCACGTGATATTTTCACGGTCTAAAGAGTTTCATTGAAGATCCCACACAAACATTAAGCAAAACAAAAAAAGTAATTTGCCGATTACATAACCAGCCTAGGCACAATTATTATTCTCAATAGATAAAAATTTGTTAATTACTTCCTTAAAATAATATATTTCCGTATGCTGCACGTGGAAACATTTTCCAATATCAATTTGAATGAAACTAATTAAGTATGTCATTATCATTATGTCCAATAGCAGTTTCATTTAGCAAACTAAATATGACTTTAACAGATTGTAAAATTTAAATAGTATATAACTGACTTACATAAATAACTCGAATATAGCAAGTCATGACATTTCACACTTGTGCATAGAGAAGAAAAATATAAAAACCCGAATTAGTTTCAATTGTTTCATAAGCTTAATGTATAAATAATACATATAAGTTTATTAATTAAAACTTTTATCTGATGACGATTTTATTAACTCAGAATGTAGGTATAATGACTTTTTTGTAACTTATCATTGACGACAACAATATTTTGCTGTGGGAACTTTGATATTCGATCTGTTTTACGTAACTCCAAAAAGTCTGAACTTCCAAATAATGTGCTATAGAACTGATGAGTTATGAATAAAAGACGACACGTTCTAACACAAGAACAGGATTTACGTGCGAATAGTCCCGATTAGAGCCACCTAAACCCACAACCAGCATTCCTAGCTCATTTTAATTTCAAATCGCATGTTGAACGAGACTTGTAATGCTGGTTCCCAGTGTGAGAGTTCTGGGGCAAACAAAAAGACGGCAAACGGTCACATTCATTGGATTCTTGTCACGGAGCGTGGTTCACGCCACCTGCATTTGTGATCCGAGGCGCCTGGCGATGACATTTTAAACATAGTCACTAGCATTTACTTTACGAAACGATTATCATCCAAAAAGTATATAAGACCGATAACACAAAAATATATTTAAAGTTGTTACCGAAAATTTCGTTTTTATTTTCAAGTAATTTCTGGACAAAACATCCAAAAAGTAGGAAAGTATGGCAAAATTTTAAGTAAATAAGCATACAATGCACTTATTGTCTATCTCAAAATTCTATCACAATACAAAACCACGGTAAATTTCAGACACCCAAAGAGGCTGATTGATCACTTTAATGTTTTTTTCCAAGTTTTTAAGTGTTTCTTTACCTAAGCTATGACCAATCATAGTAAACATTGGAGTAACTGCGAATAGGAACTAGGAATTAGGAATACCTACTGCTATTATTATCAGTTTACGTATGTGAAGAACTTATAGATAAATCCAGTAGCATCCTCAATGTCCCAATTGTCTCGCATTAACATTATGACCTTTATGTCCATCTCAATAAAAACCATGTGTAGTGTACACCCGCAGCAAGTGATCATTATAACGGAACGTGATAAGGAACCCATTGCATTCAAATTACTATATATCATTATTCCGTATTCTATTATAGTACGATGCGTTTTTGTCCAAGTATTTTGTGATGTTTGACCTTATTATCAGCAACACCGGCAAATAAAAAACTAAATAGTTTATATAAGGGGTTAATTTGATGACCTGACCTGATTGAAATATGAGACAGATGTGGTGTTGTAACCGCGGGCGGGGTACAAACCGTTTCCGTATCAGTAAATAGATATTATGTCGATGACAGAAACCAGTCCCCAGTCAGAAAGCACACAATGACCAATATCCGCTCCATCTTTATCTATTAAGAGTCAACAAAAATACGAAGAAAGAACATTTCTTATCAAAGATTATAGCTGACACTACGAAACCTTAGTCGATATTGAATTTAAAAAATGTGTTAAATGTGTGTGTGACAATCGATTGTTCGAATATAACAGACTATACAAATTCATAAAAAGCCTTACATGGGATGTTTTCATTATGCAGATTCCCACGATGTTAAATAAACTATGTTACTACGTGAATTGATTCAGACGGGAACGTAATATACAATTCCCTCGTGTAGCCTCGAGCGTGATCTGAGCCACGTAAATTACAACAGAGGCGACAGACACTCATGCCACTCACTTGCAGCGCGCAGATCTCAAAGTTACCTAACAGAACCGAAACCGGTCGATCCGTGTCATTAGACACGCTCAAAAGCTCTTGATATTCCTCAATTGTCCAATAGCTGGTGATCTGGACACGGATTGCTTTCCCACGAACAGGTTAGTGTTATATCATGATGTCTGGGTATTGCTCACGGTGCGTTTGTGAGTCGGCAGCGCATCCCAGTGCAATTAGAGCCCATTCAACGCGAGACGCGTGCCGACCAATTTAAATAAGTACGCCTGTTATTACATACTTTGGGTTGTTGACTCAAGTGACCATTGGATTTAAAGAAATGGAAACTTAAAATTTCAAACTAATATATCCCAAAATATTTATACATAATGATGATGTTTGAAACCCAAAACTATGACATAGCAAAACAAAAACACGGAAACTACAATCACCACACGAACAACAAAGGATTTTTCAGTATCAAACGCTAAAAGCGTTAATACTTAGGCATATTTTTTCCAAAAAAATAAAGAAATATACATACTTTAAATACACTTAAAGCACCTAACATACCTTATATAATAAATATATAGCTCACTTAACGGAAAGAAAACTTTCAAAGTCGCATTCCCGAATACCAATTGACTATCCGGATTTCGATGAAAAGCCATCAGTGTCGTCATGCAAACTGGTTTTCTCGTAAAATTCGCGTTACCAAGCAGTGCACCAGCCAGGGTCGGGGAAGGTAAAACCAAGGGGGGAGGTGCGGGGGCGGTTGAAAGCGCAGGAGGCGCACGAGCAGCGGCCGGTCGACGACCCGCCACATGCCCTGCGCCGGCGCAACATTCGCCTCCACCGTTGATCCTAACACGATTATATTAGCAGAAAATATAAAAACCCAATGACTAACTTTAAACGACAACAAAAAACTTACCTGATGACCATCAGTTAAAACAATTCGTGCAAAGCTAATTCGCAGTGAAGACGTCAAATATATAGCAGTCCGCTAGTCCATTTATGAAGAGAATCAAACGTTGGTTTTGAAACATGAAATATCAATGCAGAGGCACTCTCTCGATGTGTTCAATTAAAAACAATATCACGAATTGGGGTCTCGTGTAAGTTGATTGTCGGTTGGATCCCAATAAGTCATAATTCATGAATTTCTATCTATTACCAAGTCCCTGCCAGCGACCTAAATAGCACAGACACGTGTCTTAACGTAGGAACGGGATCAAGAAGTTGTCAAGGTTGGATCTATTTGTGATGAATTGTGTCTCCTGATTGTTGTACTGGTACACTTGTTCTCGCCTTACAGGAATGTAAAACCAGTCATATGAATGAAGAATAGTGGAACACTTGTAGTAAAAACATGTAAATATGACTGTTTTATTGTTTTGGAATATTCCTTAAATTGTTAGGTTTATAAAATGCATAGACGATAACGTTGAAGATTATTTTATATTATCTCGTGATGCAAAATTACGCTTTTTTTGTAAATAATTAAACACTGAGAAGCGGAAGCAACAACATTAAAAGCTACTAAATTCTAAAGACAGTTCAAGCCAGCCTAATGACATGCGTGGGCGAGAGGTAGCTGCGTCTCTAAATTATGTGTGAGGTCATTGATTGAGTCTGTGCTGTATAGATACATCGAAACCACCTAACGGTACTTCAGAACTTCGATAAGCTGAGAAACTTTATACATTCGTTCCGAATCACTAAAATCACTACTAACATCGCACGAGATGAAGACATTCGTATCGACAATAAACCAAGTATCTACAGCTGTTAAACACATTGGTTGAATCAAAACAGTAATAAAGCTAACCGTTTACGTTCTAATTTAGTATCGCCCAGCGTATGCCACTTGTCACAGCATTGCTTTTGTTTATTTTTAGTATATTCCTCAATTTTTTTTGTTTTCTACGAATACTAAGGATTCGCATAGGAATCTTTCAATCATTATTGTTTATATAGGAGATGACCATACTGATGTAATATTAAAAAAATCTGAAATACTTCTTATTACTTCTGATTCTTATGTACATATAGACTTAACAAACTTATAAATAGCCATTTGCAAAAAAGTTTTTACAGTTCATTATTTTTTATTATTAATGATGACTATTATTTTTTCTAAGAAAGAAATCACGATGACGATATTTGATGACTGATTAACTTTGCTTTTTTTCAGACGTTAGGAGAATAGTACAATGGCGGTGTTTGGCTTGGTGTCATCGGTTGCGGGCTTCGTGAAGGTCCGCTACCTGATCGACAAAGCGGTCATCGACAACATGGTCTTCAGAATGCACTACCGCATCACCTCTGCCATACTGTTTCTGTGCTGTATTCTCGTCACCGCCAACAATCTTATTGGTAAGCAACATGATTAAACTTACCTTTCCAAATATTTGAAATGAGAGTTCTATAAAGATTGATTTACTATTTTTAACCACCTTTACGTTTTAACGGTTAATGCTAATTCAATGAACATACGTTATTGACATGAGATTTATCATTATATAAATTTAAATGCACGTTGCAGAGATATACGGTACCGTTAGAATAGACATGACCGCATGTTAATAAAGGCCGATCACTTTGCATATTATTAACCTAACTTACGTATGCTAGTTTTACCTTCGAATGGATATTGCTTTAGTCGTAGAGTTATAATAATTTTGTGTTTATGAACAATGACGTTCTTCATTTATAATGGAATCCGACACAGCATTCAGGCTGTTTCACTGCTGTCAGCGAAAGTAAATTCAGTCGGTAATTACACAATTCGAATTGGTCAGACAAGGGACCGTTATCTTGACCTCAAGAACAGTATTGTGACGTTATTGTTAGCACTTGCTCCTGTGTAAAATGAGTCATTTTAGGTCACGCACGCAGGCAATACCCGTTGGTGTGTAACAGTTACCCGAATTGAGACATCATGACATATAAACTAAACACACAAAAATACGAAGTTAACGTTGACTCAAATCAATGAAGCAAATCAGTCAGTGAACCTGCTGCAGCGATAAGCGATGGTCGGCGTCAACTATAAAAGTGTGAAAATAACCTGAAGCACGTTCCATTAAGACGAATGACAGAACTTGTAGACTTTAACCATTAGATGATTCATGCATGCAAAAATAAAATCATTATGCAAAAAGTAAGTAAAGTTTTATTTTCGTAAATTGTTAAATCCATTGAAGTTTGTTTAACTATTAAGTTGTTGATTAACTCATCTTTATGATCAAACAGAATTATAATAGAAAATACCATACACTAGATCGTATCAATAGGTCATGTCACGTATAAATAAGGGTTTAAAGAATATGTATTTTGATTTATAAATAAATTAAGGTGCTAAAATCAGCTTTACGTGACGCATGAAAATAAAATCACGGAATTTTCGTATTTTGTGGTTTAGTACATTCGACGTCATGGTTATCCCGAGCAATAACAAGTGTTATATTGTAAGCCTATAAATTTCCGCAAAGCTACATACAAGTGTAGACTACACTTCATAATAATAATTTATTGGTGTAAAATAGTCATATTCCGTACACCGTAATCGCGTTAAGTGTTATCGCGTGCTTCTCGTTATGACCCAAAACGTAAACAAACCAGCTACTTGATACACTTGTAATTATGTTAACGAATGTTCGGAACATAGTTGTCGGCCGCTCACTCATTGGAACACGTAGTTGGGACAAATGAAAAAAGCAGACAAGTGCTATACTCTGTTTACGGAAACGAACTGGGTGTCGATTCTGCGAAGCTAACGTAAAAATAGTGTCTCAACAGAGTATCGCTTATTGACTCAGTTCTTATTACTAAAACATTAAATAACAAAGGCAAATAGATAACCATAACAAATTAGTGTTGAAATATATTTGTGGTTTTTTTTATTTGGTACCGGCGATAGCTTTTTTGCCATTCAACTGATTGTCTTACTGTCTTAGTAACGGCAGCATCCTTTTTTGTATCACGCAAGATTTTCTATCCTTGACTTTAAAAGACAAATCTTATGATAAGAAAACTCTCCACTAACTCGTTTCCGTCAACATAGTATAGTTCAACTAATGCACTATGATGTCCATACAAACTTTAATATTATAAGTGCATACAACACAGTTGATTCATTCATAATCAGTAAAAAGTTGAATGCTGATTGATACAGTGATACTTTGTTTATCACGGCATTTGAGTCTGGTTAATTCATTGGCCATAGCACGCTAAAAATGCAATCACCAACCACAGCCGATGTTGAGACAACTTTAACCACCATAGTAATTTTTATTTCCAAATAGATGTTTAATAAAGCTATATCTATATTATCACACATATTTCATTTATGTTTACTTTATAATGTTACTTTGTGAGTGTCCAAAATTTGCGGCACTCTCATTTTCAGTATTTTATGTAAATGTGATTTTGTTATCTTTTCGCATTTCTTATAAAAGGATTTAGACAGACAGTCAAGGAAAAACTTATCTTTCTAAGGTACAAAACTTGATATTTTGTTTATCTTTAGACATCGATGATCTTAACCAAGTCATTATTATTTTACCATTCAAAATTACCAACGTGACAAACTTATATGTTAAGATATCAGTTAGTTTGTTAGCCTAAGATAATAACGACCCTATTAAGTAGACCTAATTTTTAAAATCATAATAGAATTGTTCTTGCTAAAATAGTATGCTTTTTGCCCGAAATCTGTCTGATACATAACTAGGTTATAGTTCAAACAAACTTTGTTTTTGCACAAAATTCTGAACTATTTATGAATAAAGTTATTATTATTTCCTTATTGTTGGCCATAGCCAGCTTGACATTATTATATTTGAAAAAACACCTACCTCAAATAGGTTGCGATAGATATACAATGTATATAGATTATGTATATCTTCACTTATATATACCATTTAAACGATATTCGTCTTGTATCCAAGGTGTATTACAATTCAGCAAAGCTAACGCTTCGATATATAAAACAAACGTATGAATTTGATACTTGCAGTTACGATCAGCACTTATTTTGGTTTAGTCTAAGTCACGTTTTAATCTCAAGCGCAATCCTTAGTCAGCCAATCATTGCATCGTTGCAATACAGTTTGGTAGATGTTATGTAGGTGAGCCGGCTCAGGTGTTGCCAATAAAACCATGCAGTATTTAATAGTTTAAACATGGTGATAAGGTAATGTAGGGTCTGCTGGTTGCTATGCAGCCAATACGAACGAGAATGAGTACTTACATACCCGACAAAGAACAATATCGTTGCTAATGTTTCATATTTTCGAGAGCACTACATTTGAGTGAAATGAATGAATCTATTTATATTAAACCAATCGTTCATAAACTCTTATTTGAAACGTTATTAAAAATATTTTAGGACGATTTATTAAATTTGCTTTTCATAAATTAATAATTAATACTTACCTTAGTAGGAAATTTGGAACCAACCTGGATTGTGCTACATTTTCAATATTAAGAAAAGCTTACTTTCTATGACGAAATATGGCATGTAGTCGTAGTTTTACAGATGGGTAGTTCGTTTACTTATTCAGAAATACAAAGTATGATTAGTATTTCTGAATAAGTAACTATTTTATTTTCATTACAGTTTACGTATAGTTTTCCTGAATTCTAAAGTTTACGCAAATTAAAAAAAAAAAACAATGAAATCAATCTACTAAAATCATAATATTTTGGTAGGAAGGAAACGATATAACGACCCTAAATCGATAATTTCCGGGATTAAAAACTATCCCATGTCCTATCCCAGGACTAATATGGTATATAATATTTCACCTGAATCGGTTTAGCGGTTTAAGCGTGAAGAAGTAAAAGACGTATTGAGAGACAGACACACTTTCACATTTATAATAGTAAATATGAATAACAACACGATGCACAAAACTTAGTTAGAATAGACAATCGAGATGAGCATTGTTTCATGTTTTGAAACAACATTGTCTCTAAAACAACAATAATCGTGAATCATATTATATACAGTAACATCATTTACAATAAAGCACATAGCACACAATCCATGACCCACAAACAATACTATTCATGTAAATCTTAACGTAAATACATTCCGTCGATGGCCAATGCCCAACCCGATACAAGTAAAGGCTAAAGATCTTATCAAACTAGTTTTCACCAAGTGCTTGCTTACATAAGATTACCATAAGTTCGGACCGATTTCATGTTCCCACCATTGCCAATCCACGTGTCACACATGTGTGCAGTGGAAACTTATAAACACCGATGAATTAGTTCATCGTTTCGGAAGGTCTCAATTTAAAATTCATGAAGTACTTTAATCTAATTACGTTCAGTACAGTCTTCCATTAAATTCTATGCCAGATATTATACTATCAATCAACAAAGATGACATCGTAGTTGTTTAAGTATGGATAGACATCTAGACTTAGTATCTATACAATAAAGTGGCTTTCGGCATCTATCTTTATGTCCGCTAACTGCTCAACCACGCATCGAATTTTGATGCAGTTATCACCATAAGTTTAATAAAGTACATAGTTTAATCTGAAAACACAAATTACACCACAGCGAGGACTGTATACAATACAATATGTTCACGAATTCCACCCATTGTTTTTTGTTGAACAAAATAGACCTAGTTTCATTGACCTTAAAACAGATTTCACAAAAACAGTCAATGTTATCAATGGAGTTTAAGAAAAACAGTAGTAGTCGATTATTGATTTTAACAATTGTTTTTGTATTCTTGGATATAAATAATAGTGTGAGTACAGATGATATTACGGACACATTTGCTGTTCTTATGACTTATGCAAAAATGAGAGTAATTTAGAATCATTACATATTCGTTGTTGAGAAGGATCAGTGAACGCACCCTAAAGGCATTATAATAAACAACGACAATTAGAGATAAATCATTTAATTAACCTCTTTTGTCTTTGAATTATGGTACAACAATGTTCATACACTATCGATATGCAACGGAATAAAACACGTAGTGAAATATATTGTTATGATTTACATTGGACTGCTAATTCACGTCCCAATGATTCCAAACAAATTTTTCTTATTCAATGTTATTTGAAACTTTTAAATGTAGTTCACTTTGACCCCGCTTTATATAGTTTAGTATTGTGATGTTGCGCAATATTGTAATGCGGTTAAAAGTTGACCAACCCAGTGGTGACATAAAACGAATGATGTTAATTTAACAAAAATCTGCATCGACAGATGTCGTTGTATGTTGGTATGATAAATGTATCATGTTTTCGTTTTTGACGAATTTTTACCAAAATGAATGTATCCTTTCAAACAAAGACAGATAAAGACCATACCCAAGATAAAATAAACGAAAGAGAACTTTGAAAAATGATTTCGAATTTCGTCGGCATTCTCAAGTAAATCGTTTAGATGTTTTGTTAGTCCAGTTATCCTATGTTTAAAACAAAAGCCGCCTGTAGTTTATAATGATTGGTTGATAAATGCACAAGGTGCATGCGTACACCACAACCCTAACTACGTACAAGGTGATTCGAGTCACGGTCGGCACAATTGCGTCAGGTAGGGGACAGCTGCAGTTAGTTCGATATTAAATAAGCGTCATCCGCAAATGCGCTTTGCAATGTCAAGGCCACAAAACATAATGAAGCACTGAACTTGAACTATATTAAAAACAGAAATCGTTAATAGTAGGAATTTAGCCCTGTCTGTGACAATGATACATAACTTTTATAGAATCTGATAATCATTGCTTGTCTGCATGATGTGACAAATTAATAAGGTCAGCGTTGTCATGTTATAACAAAAACTTTAAACTGCTGTGGAACACGGATCACTCAATTAATTATTACTTAAATACAGTGTTTAAATATGCCTCTTGCAAACAGAATTATGGCTTAATACAATTTAAATTAATCAATATATCTTTGTTAATATTTCAGGCGAACCGATCTCGTGCATCAACGACGGTGCCGTACCTGGGCACGTGCTCAATACGTACTGCTGGATTACTTACACCTTCACACTTCCCAACTCAGACTCTAAGGCCATCGCTCATCCCGGCCTCGGGAACGACTACGAAGAGGAGAGACGCATTCACGCTTACTATCAGTGGGTGCCATTCATGCTGTTCTTTCAGGTAATGAAACTTTCCCATTTTGTATCTTATTAATATTGTAAACGGAAAATTTTGTATGTTTTTTGTTACTCAATCGTGAAAAAACTACTAAACTGATTTGGCTGAAATTTGACACACTCATCCCCTTATTAATAAACGCGGAATGGGCTTTGACTAGTTAGACCGTATTTTGTTCCTATCACTCAAATACCGTTTATCATTCAATGAACAGAGACAAAACATGAAGTAACAAATCCAAGCTTATTCTTCGCTTATTAATAAGGGGGTTATAGTGTAATACCTTGATTAAAACATAGGGTACTTTTTATACCAAAAAATGAGGTTCCTGAGGGATTCTCTAAAAACTAAAGCTAACGCGGACAAAGTCGCGGGGCGGCAGCAAGAAATGTGAATAATTCATGACTAAGATTTGAGCCATAAGACTTAGGTAGGTGAGCAATATCTTTATGTGAATGCTAGAAATATATGCGAGCTGAACAAAGGTTACCATTAACGGTATTCCTAGTCATTTGCAGATAAAAATAATGCATTAGCGATATTCACTATTATGGCTAACTATAAGTCATCATTACCGGATACACAAGTTATCGCAGAAGTATGAGGGCTATCTGGCATTTGTATTCAACACATATTTTTTTAATTGCAGGGTATTCTATTTTATTTGCCACATTGGATATGGAAGAACTGGGAAGAAGGAAAAGTGCGAATGATCTCAGACGGTATTCGTGGTACTGCCGCCAACATTGCTGACGACAAAAACAATCGACAGGTAACAAATAATGCAGTTTATCCAATTTTTACGAATCGTGCATATGATTAGCAAACAGAGTTCATATTCTCCGTTTAAACCGATATGCCACGAAACTCGCACAATATATCCGCCATAAAGCGGTAATTCTGGCATTGCTGCGTTCCGGTTTGGATATAGGACGGCAATGTAATTGAGTCGAATCTACAATGATGGATTACATTTATGACACTGTTTATTTTCGCATTTATTTTTAAGAGAAGCAGGATACGAGTTTGAAAGTAATCTTACAGAAGACACCATGATAGGGTTTTCGATATCGTTGACGATACAGTGAAATAGTACCACCATTCGGTGGTATAGTATTTTAAAGTTGAATAACTTGCCAGGGAGCTTGTTAGGGGAGGAAAAATGTGATCTACTACTGGTAAAAATGCGCAAGCGTCGATGGTATATGGTGACCGCTCAAAACCAGGCGTGTTCGAATTATAATGTAACTAACATTATAATTCGAGCAACCTTATTACAGAAGTAAAATAAGCTTGCAAATGTCAAAGAATTTTATTTTATAGATATCATCAGACTTTATTTACATAGCAATCATTTGCTATGTAAATATGAATTTAAACATTAAATGCTTATGCCCTTGTCCCAGATTTTAAGTAAGACGTTTAGATATTTCAGCGTCGTTTCATCATAGAACTTTCCTTCATAACACGAGTAGTGTAAACAATTTCAATTATTGGTATATGATATCATCCCACCTAAACGATGAAACAATTGAGGCAAGGATTAAATTAACAAGCCAAGACGGGCATCACCGTCCCTAATTAGAAGAATGGAACGGTATTAAGGAGATGATATACTTACTGTACCCACACATGCAATCGTCTCATATGTATCTTCAAGTATACTTCGAATGATATAAATGTAAAAAAAATCAGGAGCGGTAGAATTTTCATTTTACTTTCTCGTGATACGTAATTGTGTTTTAATGTTAAGTCATATTTATCGATTAACACCATAACTCGTTCGTTATTTCCAGAGTCGTTTGGTTCAATATTTAATGGACACTCTGCACATGCACAACGCCTATTCATTTGGTTACTTCTTCTGCGAAGTTCTTAATTTTATCAATGTGGTACGTATTAACAATTAATTCTATATCTATTGAAATTATTTTAGATTCGGTACAGTTCTTTATTAGTTTTGTTTTTGCTAGGTCGGAAACATTTTCTTCCTGGATACATTCCTGGGTGGAGCATTTTTGACCTACGGTACTGAAGTAGTCAAGTTTTCGAATAAGAATCAGGAAGACCGAACGGATCCTATGGTGAGCATTTGGAAATATTTTAGAACTCTATAGATAATGAAAGATTATTTTAGTTCAAAAGTCATTTTATTAGTTTATTTCGCTTGTCATTTCCAGATTGAGGTGTTCCCCAGAATAACCAAGTGCACATTCCACAAATTCGGTGCATCTGGAACGATCCAGAAACACGATGCCTTATGCGTGCTTGCGTTAAACATTTTGAATGAGAAGATCTTTATTTTCCTTTGGTTCTGGTAAGTTAAAAAGTTAAGCATAATCTCTTCACATTGTCATGCTAACTATAATAAAAATAAGTTTATTGGTAATGAGCTTAGAAATGCATCATGCCACGTAAAATGATAAGAGTAGATTAATTTCACTAGTTTTAGGACATAACAGAATGCATAAGACATTTCCTTGTAAAATACACTTCTCTCTGGATAATTTTAACGTTTTAAACATTCTAGGTTCATTATCCTGTCTGTTGTCTCTGGCTTGGCTATCGTGTACTCCGCGGCTGTGATTCTGATGCCAAGAACTCGCGAGACCATCCTCAAGAGGAGATTCCGATTCGGGACACCGAACGGTGTGGAGGCGTTAGTAAGAAAGACTCAGGTAATTGTCAATTAAACTTTTTACCAGAGGTGTAATTAAAAATATGGGAAAGGCATGTCGAGTGATAGTGTTGGTACTGCAAGCGTCAATGGCAAAAGGCTATGGTGGCCGCTTACTTATGTTACGTATGCTTGTTTGCCACCCTTTTGAAATAAAAAGAAATATATTGATCAAATAATGTCTTCGATACCATTACTTTATATTTTCAAATGTTTCAGGTGGGAGATTTCCTGCTTCTTCACCTACTTGGTCAGAATATGTCGCTGCGAGTGTTTGGTGAAGTACTAGACGAACTATCTCGGAGGTTGCACCTCGGTTCTAATGCACCTTCAGCGCCATCTACTTTGGAGATGGCTCCTATTTATCCCGATATTGACAAATTCTCCAAAGAGACTGAGACGTAGGACACGAAGGTAACCGGCCTAGGCAGGTGAGCGTAACATTATTTTATTAGGAAGAATATGATAAGCGCTTGCTTTTAATGAACTTGTAAAATCTTGCCTCTACGCCCACCTACCATTAGGTCAGCAGAATTAAAATGAGCATTACACTAACCAATTGATTGTTCAGAAATTTGTTTAACATTTGTCCTAATAACATTTTTAGAAGAATCCGTAATATTAGCACTATTAAAGATCTTAGAAAATGATTCTTCAAAAAGTGTAATTGGCACAATTCAGTAGTATTTTCTCCAGTGTACTGCTCGTTTTATTGACGAGACAATAGCTGTTCTCGATGATAATACAGTTTTGAAATATAAACTTGAATAAATAACACTCAACAACGTTCATCATGACATTCCTTATGTATTAATTTAGACAACAATTAGGTTAATTGACAGCCACAATAAAAATCTTCTGTAAGCCTTAGCTTTAAATTTGGGTCTCAATAAAGTTTAGTGAATACGAGATGGATAAAATTGTGAAAATGTTTGTGTATAAATAAGAAGAAGTCAAAATTATTATGGAGGATATATTCTTATCTTTAGAATTTTATGATAATGTGAATGGTATTAAATGGTCAGCTGGTAGTGAATATCAATGTGTTGTGTTATTTCGATGAAGACTGTTGTAGTCATTTGAAACCTTCATAAAATTATTACATATTTGTGTTTGTTAGTAGGTAGTTCTAAGTTTTTAAGTTAGCAGTCTAGAATGGAATATGCTACTGCTGTGAATTTTAGGATAACAGTCTATAGTTGCAGATAATAATAATACATACATACTTTATTAGATTTTTTAAATATTTACTTGTTTATTAGAATAGTTTCTATAAATCGATTGTAAAAAAAGGGAATATCGCCCATATCATCTTCTACTTATTTTAGTACGAATGAAATGCACCTATTAATGTCGTACTCAATTATTGCTTTTAGGGTTTTGTTCATTAAAAGACATAAATTAATTTTTATATCATATAAAAGACAAGCTTTGCAAGGTGTGATGTGTATGTTAATCTTGACGTAGCGAAATTTTTAACTAAGTGTCCTTTGGAATTACTTATTATAGAACTAGTAGTTAGTAAACGGTGCGATTAGTACTATTGTACTCAGCAAATATTGTGCCATTGTAACAGTGTTTTAACTATCGTAACACGGAGCATTAAAATATTATGTTCCGATCCAAACAACTTTTGATGTCTTCCCAGTAATTTTACATGTACTCCATGATAAAATCTATTCGCCGATAGAATCTCTTATTATCTATATTTTTTCATAAATAATGTAGCATAATATAATAGTATAGTTATAATCAACGTCGTTTTGCAGTATGCCTGTGACAATCATGTTAATATTTTCTTTTATTAATTAGTATACTGTACAAGTATAATGATGCAGCATGCTGCTGATGCATGATGCTCTAAATTTAAAACTAAATTTAACGTCCGCCATTATTTTTCATTCTGTATAGAGAATGACAAGGACACACTGTTATCAAATTTAACTTTAGGTTTAGAGAATCATGCCAAAATCAGCACCCATGTATCATTCTTGTAATAAATGTATGTACCAACATTTGTACAATTAGGAAGACTGCTATTGTGACAATACTGAGATAGTTTTTGGTTATATTTTCTTGGAATTAAACAATTCGAATAATTAAACTTGTTTTATTTATTAATAATAATCATATTTTTGTACTTAATAAAAACCAACATGAAAGGACTTGAGAAAGTTGCTTTTATAATATTTGATACATGTGACTCTACAAAATAAAAACGTGGTTTACTCATCTAACCAAAATGTATCCTATTCAAGTGTATCCGAAAACATTAAATATGAATAAAACACATACCTATAGGAAAAAAATAGTGCTTTTAGGAAATTTTGTGTGATAACTTACAAAGTGACATATCTATACTTATAATAAATCTGTAGAGATGTCAATTCTGTACATGAAATATATTTTTAAAATAACTATCAGGGGGTGATTAGTGATCGATACTGATGCCAAAAATGCAATCAGTAAAAATTTTGTCTATCTGTCTGTCTGTGTGTATGTTCCTTATAGAAACAAAAACTACTCAACGGATTTAACGAAACTTGGTACAATTCTTCTTCATACTCCTGGGCAGGTTATAGTATACTTTTCATCACGCTACAATCAATAGCAGCAGAGTAGTGAAGGGAAATGTTGGGAAAACGGGAGAAGTTACTCCATTTTTTAAGCTTCCGTCGCGGGTGCACCCTTAATGGTTAAAGTTACATAGAAATCATGTATGACGGAAATATTCTACATAAAATTGTCTAAAAATATCACGCAACAGCATATGTCTATCTTTTATGGTTGACTCACAATAACACGTGTAATTATATAAATAAAGTCATTCTTTATAGCACAAGCCTGAGAACAAAAACTATAGTTTACACTACAGCTCTACACCGAAGCGAAGCGAGGGCGGGCCACTAGTCTATCATATTATATTATTCCCTCGGATCTCTTCTTTATTTAACTTGCTCATATATTAGTCATATAAATAAATATACAATTTCATACAAAGGACGCTTGCAACAAGAAAAGTAAGCAATAATTTCGCAAATAAAAGGTTTTTTTTACTTTCGACAGCGTTAATGCTTTATACACCAGGGAAAGTATTGTGCAACAACAAATCTGACAATATTGTTTCTGATTAAAATTATCAAACGAATAAGTACCACTATTACCAAGATTATCAAACGAAATCCAGGGTTGTGCAACTACAAACCTGACAATATTCTTTCTCGTAAAATTACATACATCAAGAAACTTTGAGAGTACTTATACATCACGCATGACACCGCACCTCCCATCGATGCTTGCTGAACTCTGCTATAATATATTTGTACGAATGCGTGCTTGTGTGTAAGTGTCAACTAGTTTGACCCTATTACTATGACACAAATGTAGGATTATAGGCATTCGGTCTAAATTATAAAACCAAGCTCATTTTATGACAGTTTTGTGTAGGCGCGAACAGCATGCAAACTCTAGTTGCGTTGATCATAAACATTGCAGGTAATGTTGTCTTGTGTAGTTAGAAAGAAAGACAGAAAATTTATTTGTAACATGTGTAAGAAAGATGTTCAGACACATTTACATTACTTTTCCTGTAGCTGTAGGCCCATTCGCTAACTTTTTTGATATTAAATAAAACAAGCTTCAACGGGTTAGATGCACTGATTTTATTTATTTACTAGCGGCCGCCCGCGACTTCGTACGCGTGGAGTTAGTTAGAAATAAAGGTTCACTGCTCGTGCCCCGTAGGTGATAGCGTGATAATATGTATCCTATTATGTTGAAATATATTGTTTTTCGCGCCAAATTTGAAGTAAATTCATGCAGTACTTTTTGAGTTTATCCCGGACATACATACAAACAGGCAAAAATTCTAAAAACTGTATTTTTAGCTTCGGTATCGATTCGATCGAATGTAGATCACACCCCAATATTCTTTTAAAAAAATATTCAATGTACAATTTTGACTTTCCTACCATTTTATTATAATGTATAGATAGAAAAAATACATTATTATGACGACGTATTCCTGCAAAGGCTGCGAAACGTCAATAAACAAAAATAAAATCAGTGCATCTAATCCATTGAACCTTTTTTTAATGTAATGAGTGATGTGCGTGAAAATCTTAGATCCTTTTTTTTAAATATGGGTTTGCTGGACTCATAAAGGCATAACCAAACTTAAACTTCATTTGCCATTAGTCGGGTTGGTATCATTAACCTATTAATGTTCTCCTCCTGGGGCATACATAGGCCTTCTATATTTATAGAATAGGGAGAATGGGCCATGAAGGCTGGCTCAGTGCGGATTGGAAGGTGCCGATGCAGCTGGAACCAACAGCAGTGCCTTTCAAAGCACAGGGAACCTCAAGTTGGAATGTTGCATAACTTCCACGATCGCAGACTGTACGCGCTAACCACCGCGGCATTGAGCTACTGGAGTCAGTATACTGTTGTTCTTGTTACAAAATAAATCCATTCGAGCACTACGCAGATCTAATGGGTTTTCTGAAATAACGGGACGAGTTTTCTGAAAGATGGGTAGCAGCACTGAGTCGAAAGATCTACTCATCCGTCAAATTGCGTATGTTGTCATAATAATCTATGGATTAATTTAAATGCTCTTTTGATTATTTCGCGCCATAACCTTTACTGGTGAGGCTAATTTTTCTAAACACCCTCATAGGTATACAAAGAAATGATGAAGAGATAATGAAGAGATGATGATGAGAGAGAGAGATGATGATGAATCTAATTTCAATCTTCATCTCTTTCTGTGATCCCAAGTTTAATGTCAATGTGACATACATAAGCTGATGTCTTTTCCAAATATCAATTGAAATTAATGGCCGAAGGAGTATAAGTTATACTATTAGATCCCAGGACTACATGTACGCAGCTCGAAAATATCAATTTTTGTGTGGAATAGCAATAAGTCGGTGTGTAGTCATCAACTACGCTATCGTCTAATATGCGAATAGACGATAGCGTAGTCTGTCAATCGAAACTACAATGTTGTAAGAGGGGGCAGTTCATACACTACTGACCATTGTAGCCGCTTTAGGTAACAGAGTCCACATTACTAAATTTTTATTTCAAATCGAAATCGCCAAAATTGTCGACGTACCGAGAGGATAAGCGCTGTATCTCTAGTGGGGTGCTATGTTGGTTTATGACCTGCGCAGACGAGGGACTTTTGAAAAAAATGTCCACTGAGAACTTGCCTCGGACTGTTGCACACGGAGTACGAACATATATGTTACCCAGAAATTTAGAGAAGCGCACGCTATGGAAGCAAATATTGTGAGATTACGTTGTGTTTATAATTAACGTAAAGAATAAGAAAAGACGTTTTAGAAAATAATAGTGGGTCTATCCCTTTATATCGGTTCGAGCGCGCAATACTGACTAAGCCCTATGTGCGTTGCTGCGCCTAGTCACATAAGTTCTATTTTTTCTGGGA